TCTCTAAAGTGGACCTCTTTTCAGATCCACTTTTTGTTACAGACTTACTCAGAGTCTCTGGAGTCATGGCCTTGGTTTAGCTCCGCTAACCGTGTGGGCCAGCAACAACAACAGTTATTTTGTATTCTTTTTCAATTTTTTATTTTTGAAATTTAGTTTTTTATTGTCAGTTATGCATATATATGATATCTAATGTACAAGGTTAAAAAAATATTTAAGATTATGGAATATTAGCTTAAATATAATTTTAATTGCACCTTTTTAAAAAATAAACGCTTAGCTTTGTCAATTTCTTAAAATTAATTCAATTTTTAAAAAAATTTAGTTTCTAATAAGGTTTAAATAAATGCAACAAAAATGCTTTTAAACATATATATTTACATTGATCAACACAAATGAAAATTTTTTTATACACTTCTTAATAGAGTGGTGTAGAATGTTCTGTTAAAAAAGAGCACTTGAAACAGCTATCTTGAAAGCTTTCATGTAGCTCTAGACCCTTTTTTATAACCAAAATTTTAATAATTTAAAACGAAAATATTTGTTTGGGGTATTTTTAATTATTTATAATTAAACACATGTTTGAGGTAACATCTCACTAAATCTCAATATTTTTAGGAATTCTCGTCATGGAATCCTAATAATAATTGTTGTTTTCTTGCTTAAAAGTCATTATTTAAAAAAAATAAACGATCAGTAAATAAAAGATTTTTGATGAAATTTATTATACTAAGTGCCTAATATTTGCATTAAATTCTGCAATAGAACAAGGTTTGTTTTTTTTTTAAAAAAAAAGAAACATAATGAAAAATAAAACCATTAACTTTCTTAAAAATTTCAAACCTTCTGTGTTTAATTTATATTCACTGCAGAGGTTTGAAAAAAGGAATGAATTACTGTAAAAAAAGAATTTAAAAGTTGTCACTTTTAGTGCAAAATAGACTTTTTTTAAAGTAGCTCAAATAGAAAGTTACAGTTCCAATGCTTTCCTTCAGGCTATATTCTTATTCCTAATATGTTTTCATAAACCGAGTGGAACCATGAGGTATAAATATAAAATGATACTTGTTCTTTTTATTAAACATTAAATTAGATATGCCTAGTTAATTTTATAAAAATTCCAGAAATGTTTTGCAATAAATATATTCAATGTAATATTATCTTAATGAATTCAAAATTGTAATAGTTTAAAGAAATTATTCCACTATCTAAATTTTCTGAAAGAGCCTTTCCTTTTTGTGTCAGGTGTATTAAACTCTTTATTACAAGTAGCTCCAAAACTACTCACGCGGAAACAAGTTCAAGAGAAAACTATTATCACTTTTGCGTTCGTATAATAGGTAATATGTAGTATTTTAGCGAAGGGGCATGGCAGATAAGTAATATTTGGATTTAATCTGATAATCTAAGAAATATATTTTTAATGAAACACATAAAATAGGAAAATTATGTTTTAATCAAATTAATAGTTACAGAACAATGCCTGGAATTCAAATAATTTATTTAGAGAAATAAACAATAAAATTGTTTGGATGGAGTATTGTTTTGAAATATTATTTATCGTTTTTTTGTGTAAAATAGTTTTTTAAGTTCATGAGTTGATCTGAAACTTTTGCACTGTTTTTATAATAAAAGTTTTCATATTTTTCAATTTCGAATGTTTTTGCAATTAAGGATGATTCCTCTTGTCGAAGTAAAATTTAAATAAAATGATTATACATTTTACATGAAAATATATTATTATTTAAATGAAAAGAAGACTATAGATAGTTTTTTTAAATATTCTTAATGATGCAAATTGCACAATAAAAAGGAATGATGGAGTGTTTAGGACAGATAAAAATTAACTCAGATTAACAAAGGTTTGAGAAAACAAACCTTCTGCTTGATTTAGATTGCTTAATTACAGCACTTTTTTGAAAGCTTAAGATACACAAAGAAAAAATTTTTTAAAATTACTGTTCATTTCTAGTAAAAAACTTCACAATTCTGGTTATAAAAACTAAAATATATAGCATTTAAATCATTCATTTGATAATTTTTTCATTTATATGGTAACGGTTAAATTGGAAATTTCGGTTTTCAAAAATAAAATTCTTATTACCCCACATTTAAACACAAATACAAAACTAAAACGTAAATTTAACGGAATAAAGGGATTTTATGTCATGGTCTAAGATAACATGACAAAATTGCCAAATTTTACCAAATTTACTTGTTTATTTGCATTTTCTTTAATACATGATCTCATTGTTACTTTGATCTGAAAATACTATNAAGAAAATTAAAAAAGTTTCTTTGACTGAATTATGAAAATGATTGTTGTTGTACTTCATTTACGTCACACTAGAATTGCACAATGGGCAATTGGAGACGTTCTGGGAAACATCCCTGAGATTGGCATCCAAGGACATGCCATCGCAATTTTGATCCTCTGCAGAGGGGATGGCACGCCGGCTTTGGTAGCCCGACGACCTGCACGCGAAGTCGAGCACTTTACGGTAGAACAGTTTTAACGAAGACCAACACTGAACACCCTCAGTCCCTACTCAGACTAATCCCAGTTTTCACCCACACACTGACCGCAGTCACTGATGCTTGACTTCGGTGATCTGCTGGGAACAGTGTCTTAACGATCAGCCCACTGCGGGACTATTAAAATGATGATAATCATCTTATGAATGATGATTTATAAACCATATTCACCTCTAGGCAATTTCTTTAATTAAAATTTTATTCTAAAATACCTGATTGTTTTTTTTTTGAAAAATTGTGCGGTGGTATTAAATTTAACTCTATAAGTATTTAAACTATGTGGTTTTAATAGTACAAAACATACCTTAAGAAGGAAAAAAACGTGCTCTTTCATATAGTTTATAGCGCTTAAAATACTTATTAAATGAAAATAAATTTTGGAGCTTGTAATAAAGTTTTAAAAAACATACCATAAGCTTAATTTAATCTTTAAACTGACTTATATTTTAGTTTCATACGAGAGTCGAAGCAAGATATTACTGTTAAGAAAAAATTATGTCTAAATATTTAATTAAAATATGTTTAACTGTTTTCTATATTCCTAGCACAGTGCACCATCTTTTTAAAGCTATCAAGTTTTTTTTTTAAAATTTAGAAACTCTTAGCTTTTATAGTTTAATGTAATGAATCACTGGAGATTGAGCCGCTTGAAATCTATCTAACTTCAGAACTGTGGGTACCGGATTATCTTGAAGTGAAGGCGTCTGGTGCGCTATGTTAACCACATAATCTCCTTCATGTCCATATGTCCATACTTACGAAATTCTGGCGACTTAACTTTCATGAACTCCCTTTTCTAGAATAAGCTGTTCCTCTTTTACTTTCATTTTACTTAAAAATCTAAGCTTAAAGATACGCTTCCATGTCTTAAAGTTGTGTGGCAAATATGCAATAGTAGTTATATAAAAATAATTGAATAATTGAATTGAATTGAAAAAAAAAACATGTTTGACTGTTTCACTAGATTCCCTATTAAAGTTACTCATATTTGTTTCCAAGTAATAAAAAAATTATGATTTTCCAGCTGAGAGACAAAAAAGTTTTAGTAAAATTATCGTACTGTATGGTAATGACATTTCTGGAAAAAATAATATTTCTGGTTAATAGAACCAAAATATACGATATTTAAACCATTAATTTAGAAATTTTTCCGTTTATGTGTTAACGATTTTCTTGAAAATTCTGTTTTTCAAAATTATACACATTTAGTAAAAATAAGAAACTGGAAAGTAAATTTTACCAAATAAATGGTTATTATGGCATGGTCGAAAGTTTCATATTGAATTACTAAACTTTAACACATTTATCAAATTTTATGACATTTATAAAACAACATTTTATTGCGAATTTTACCAAAATCTTACCAAATTTTTACGGTAAAAATTATCACTCTTCTTGTTGTTCCCGTGGAGACAGAAATATGATATATACTACCATATTCTTGCAGTAGTTTCTATAGTATTTTTTTCTCAGTAAGGTAATTATAGGATTTATTTTATATATTATAAAATAAAAGTACAAGAGTATGGTATTTTGAACTTCGGATTACATAAAACATTTTAAATTTTTCACTTAAAAGTCATAACTCTGAATTAATTTAATATTTCCTACTGAACTGCTTTAAATGAATCTATCTTAAAAAAATTCTGTGACAATACTCCAAGTGCATTTCTAGAAAATATTTTTCGATTTTCCTCTTTGATGATTTACATAAATATTTATTTACAGATAAAATACTTTATGCATAAAGTGATCGAAAAATCTTCTTCTCTTTAGAACCACACTGTTTAGTTATTGGAAAATGATTTATATTGGAATTGTACTTCGGGTGAAATTAAAATCAATAAAAAAATTAAATATTAAGAGCGTTTTTATTTGAATAATACAGTTTTTTGTTGAACATTAAACTAGAGCTACTTCATGCACATTATGGAACAATAACATAAATATTATTGCAAAATAATGAATGGTTATCTGTTTCAGAACAACGTGATATAAATTTTAAGAGAATAAATTCATGTTAACGTATTGGGAGCAGAGTCTAGTTAGGAAATAAATAAATTAATGCAATTGAAAAATAAAAGAAAACCAATTCACTCTTTCTCACAGCATCGGGAGAACAATTTCTACCCAAACGACTTTAAACACTCTTCAGAACCTTCCGGAGACGTTGCCATATTCAAAAATAATAATTTTAACCGCTATCAATAAATGCAAACGATCACAAAACGGGGCTGGACAAACAAAAGTTACAAAAAAACAAGTCAGATAATAAATATAATGACGAAAATTGATCAAAGAAATTGTTCTTTCTTTGTTTTTTGTCTTTTTTTTTTTTGAAAGCAAATGTCTATTGAAGGAAGTGAGTGACGCCGTTACGCTTGAAGTGTTAATTCGAATTCTTCGGAGGTATAGGAAGTAATTTTTAGGTAGGTGGGGGTGTTTGGTAAGTAATCTTAAGGTAGTATAAAAGGATATGATACATTTTCATTTCCATCACACAATCTCCATCGAGCAAGTAGCTCCAGCAGCACTTACTCGGAAACAAGGTATCTATTGGATTATTATTTTGTGGATTAAAACGATTTGGATTTATATTACAACTTCAAGTTTGTATTGTGGTAATCTCATGTGTTCGGATTAGGATTAGTATAGAGTGTGTAATAGGCATGAAGTTTTTAATAGTTCCGGTTAGGAAATATCTAGTCTCTTCAAAATTATTTTGCGTTAATATCAGTTAAAAAAACATTATGTTCTATTTTAAATTTTTATGATAAAAATCAAAATTTTGCAAGTAAATTTATTTTAATGTATGGGAAGACAATTTGGAATGTAATACTGAATATGTATAAATAATTCTGAATATGTCAAGAAAACTTTAAATATTTCGAATTTGGGTTAGTATAAGCAGTAAAACAAGCGAGAAGTTTTATGCAATGGAGTGTATATTTAGAAATTTTTTTTTAGATTCTTAATATCTCTTAAATTATTTTCGAATTTTTCGCATAAATTTCAGTTAACTAAACATAAGCTTAATGTTTGGTATAATATTAAAAAATTAAATCATATTTTAATCTTTACGAAAATTTTTTTTGAATTTTGCAAGTAATTTTCATTAAGTGTAGAAAATTAATTTTTAATATATCTATACAATTTAAATTTAGTACATCAATATATGAAATGTATGATATAATTGATAAATATTTTAAATTTTGATATAAAGCTTTATAGATTATCAAATGAAATTAAAGGAAATGGATAGCTAATTTTAATTAAATACAAAAGATTTATAAAAAATTTTCTTTACATTCTTAAGCTTACATTCTTACTACTAAATATCTTAGTAAAAATACATTCATTGTTAAACTAAATTCAATTTAATTGTGAAAAGGCTTTACTTACACAAAGTATTCATTGCAAAAGATAAAAATAAAATTTATAGACATGTCTGTTTATCTTAAATTTAAAATGAATTAATTCATGTTTGCAAAAATATAGCTTTTGTTAATTTTTGTTACTAGAAAATTAATTGTATTCTATGTACTATTATTTGAAATTATGTCTAACTATAAATTCTAAATTTATTTAATTTTAAAACAGTTATTATTTTTTTAAAGCAATTTATTAGTTTAAAAAATAAATTAGAATAACATAGACTCTTAGAAGGTTTTGAACATAAAATATTGTTGTAATTTTACATTCAGATAAATAAATTAGTCGTGTTTTCGTAATATCATAAACTGTTTTATAAATTATAACATAATTTATAAACAATTTAAAAATAGGAATATTAATTTTTGTGGACATAAATAAAATTTTAAATTTTGGAATGAATCATTAATTTTTATGCTAATAAATATGAAATCTTCTAAACTTTTAAATCTATCTTCTAAACTTACTATTTCGTTTGAAGTAAGTACTGCGCCTATAAGATTGTTCTTAAATTATATCGGTCAATCTTCATTAAATGCCTATTAATGAGCAAAATAAAATAATAATTTGATAATGTTTACTTAATTTAGACAGTAATTTTTTTCTTTGCTTAAAAAAACATAATATATTTCAATTACGGAAAAATAAATGGTTAAATTATTTCTCTTTGTTGTCAAATTAGCTTCATTTTTACCAACATAAAACCAAACTAGTATCATATTTTCTCTCCCATTAATTCACTTTGTCATTTTCATACTCATAGTAAATGACCACATTTGCACAGAAAAAGAAACGTAATTTTCTTTTATTTTGTACTTATAACAGGTCATAGCGCTCAATGTTATTTATTGGTACTATGTGATTTAGTTTAAGTATTCTTAATATTCATTATTAACAACTTATTTAACTAAAAGTAACTTTTGAATTTCAGATGAAGATCAATATGAAATTAGCGTTTTTGTTCCTGATTGTTGCTGTGGCTTACGTTACAGCTGAACCAGAACCTGAACCGTAAGTTATACCCCTTGTTTTTCTTTCTTTCTCAAAAGCTAGTTCAAACAATACCTAACATATATTTATATACTGTCAAAATTTATTTAATTTTACTACATTTAATTTACTATATTTAATTTTACTATATAATTTAACAGTGCTTCAATATTTTATATTATAATTTCTTGTGAATGATATCACTAAAATGTAAAAATAAATGTGCAGATTAACTAGTGTGTTACATTTAAATATCAAAAATTAATTGTTTTATTCTTCCATTTACCTAAATAATCTGTGAACCACCTAAATAATCTAAAAATTACCTACTAGACACTCATTAATCTGCACTTTACTTACTAAGTATTCATTAAAGTGAAAATAAGAACTTTTTCTGGAACATCAGCCTTTCTATACTCTTAATTAAACTTAATTTATTTAATTTTCTAAATCTAAAGAATAGAATAAATACAACTAAACAATAAACTAGTTTTATAGGAACTATCAATCATAAATAATTAAAAAAAAACTTTAATGCTTAGAATCAAACGGTTTTAAAATATTATTAAAATTTAAAAAATTAAAATCATGTACTCTATTTAATATTTAAAGAATTGTAGCTAATATAATCAAAAAACCAAGTCAAAAAATTATTTGAAACAATCAGTCAGCAATTAATTGAGAGTTTAAAATAGATAAAATCAAATGGCTGAAAATGTTATTAAAATTCAGAAAAATTAGCTTGCTTTTTTCTTAAAATTTTGAATGGAGGGATGGAAAGAGTAAGTATGGGGATGAGACAAAGAAATTTTTGAACTTAACGATATGGAAGCTGTTAATGTGCACATTACAAAAGTAAAATGAGTAAAACTCTTGATTCCATGCTTTAAGGGATCATTTTAGTTAATCTGAAGATTAGCTAGGTAATGTGTATGCTAAAGACTTTCAAGCTTTAGCTGTAGCATATTTAATAATCGTTTATTGATTTGAAATGCAACAAATGAAATGTCATTTTTTAAGATAATAATATTTAGGTTTGCGGACGAACCTAATGAAACAAAAAAGAAACTGTTTACTAAAATCCCGTCTATGGTGGATTGTTGTAAAGTATGTTTCACATAAATGGATCGCGTATATACTAGCACTTTTAATAGATTTAAAGAACTGAGCATTATTTTTCAATATAGAGTAAGCGTCAAAAACGCATAATATATGAAAGCACAGAAAACTGGAAAAAAAAGTAATTTATATTCCTGAGGGAAAAAAATCATTATATTCTCGTAAATAATAGCTTCATCAAGAAAGGATGAATGAAACTATTTTTTTAAACTCTTCAATGGTTTGTGTATAGTTTAATATAATTTAAATTTTCATAAAAAAAATTTTTTTTTGCTGAACTAATAAGTTTTATAAATTTTATTAAATTCAATTTTCTCCATCGTATAAAATTCAATAATTTTTGCAGAAAGGATAGACGTAACACACGATCATTCTAATTTATAGTAAAATCAATGTATTAATAAATTATAAATGAAACTTAAATAATAAAATTAATATATGATATTGTTGTTCTCTACACGATTTATAATTAGGAATATAGTTGAGAAATGAAAAAAATGCACTCTATATAATGAAAATTTACTATTCTCTCAAAGCGTGTCTTGATTCAAAAATTGTTACCAGAAATGTTTAAATTTTTTTCTCACTTTAATGAGACTTATTCTAAATAGGATCAATTAAAATACTATTTTATGCAACGAATTGTTTAAATTATGCTTAAAAATAAAGTACTACATAATCTAGGTAAAAATTACAGACACGCACCAGAAATAATTGTGGAATAAAATATTAATCCATAATTAATTAAATTTTGAATAAGCAGATGCGTAATTTCGTGCATTTTATAGAAAGTCTCTAAATTTTAAAGTGTTTTAAGGAAATAGTTAGTTTTTGATTTATAATTTATTATGAGCCTTAATTTGAATTTATTTTCCAAACGTAGGTCTTTGATTCGAAATCTAAATACTGAGTTGTTTCGGGGAAATTTTCAAAAAACACATATTTTTTACATATAAATTGATGAAATTGTCTGTGTTCATTAAAAATTTGTTGTATTCGAAAATTCTTCTACGCTTAGGAATCTAATTTTTATTATTAATAGAATTATACAGAACTTAGGAAATAATTAAATTCTGTATTAGAGAGATTAAATTTTCCTTAACTAGAAGACTAATAATTTTTCAATTGATGAAATATGTTTTAGTCAAATAAAATGCATTGCTTATAAAAATACTAAATAATTAAAGAGAATGAAATATTTAAGAAAAATATAAAATTAAAAATGTGATTCATCGCATTAATTTTAAAAATTGATTTTGAAACTGAATTTTTTTTTACCAAAATTAACATGCATCTGAACATACTAAGATTCGATCTTTTTCAAAAACAATTATTTCTTTTACTATTCAGGAGTATTTAGAATAACGCTAATATTTTTGTATTAAAAGAATGCGCTTTAAACGTAACTAATTTAAATTAAGCTGCTGCTTGAAGTTATTGCTTTTCCAACTGTTTTTAAAAAAATAATTTATTTTAGTTTCAACTAATTTTCTATCCTTTTCTCTACTCAAAGAGCTTTAAATTTTATGAATTCTTACTTTCAAGCTGCTTTATAAAAGATATAATTCTTTAACAACACTGATTTAAAATCATATGATATAAAAAAATCATAAAAATACTGAAGGGGTTTTAATTGAAAGTGTTTTCGTTGGAATGTTTACATTGATAAAAGTCTAAAAAAAGTCTAATTAATATACATTTGGTTTTGCTTAAATATTTAAGAATGTATTGAAGACAAAAGTTGAAACATAAGCAAGTTGTTTTGATTTCGATAAGCGCAGCAAGCAAGTCAAACCTTTTGGATGGTCTGTATAATTAGTCAAATAACTGAAAATATTTCAGTTTTTAACCTGGATAGTTTTGTTCGAATAAATTTCAGATATTTTTATTGATTTGCACATAGCCTTTAAAAACACGGTCACTAAATTTTTCAGATAATAGTTGATCAGTAGAGCTTTTGCAAGGTAGTAAAAATAATGCACCAATGTGACGTCCCACACAGATTTCATTTTGTCTTACAGACAAAAATTAGTAAATACAAAATTTTTTGAATGCAAATAATTCTGCTAATAAATCTTTGTCCAAAAATTGGCAGATAAATCCTTGAATTTTTCCTTGGTGGTGAAGGTCAAGAGAGAAGTTTCTCCTTTTGGGATCAATTATACATAGATGTTTTTTCATTCTTTCTTAAGAAAGCACGACTTTTTTAGTACAGAACTCAGATATTAAAATTAAAAGATTGCGTATAGGAGTTGAAGAATATGATAGAATAACATGTAATGAAATTTTAAAAAATGCTCAAATTTTTAAACTCGAAAAAATTATCTATGTCAAAGACTTGAATTGAAGAAAAGATTTCAAAAATTTCTAAGCTTGTCGGATAAATCTCTATAGGTAAACTTAAATTAATCCTTTTTAATAAAAGCTTAACTGGTATCGATGTAATTTATTCTGTTATAAATACGAGTATAAGAAATGTATTCATTCTAATTTTAGAGTAAGTAAGCAAAATCATTTAAAAAAAATCTTTATTTCATTTATTTTCTTTTAGACATGATGACAAGAAAGTAATAGTTATTAAAGACAAAAGTGAACACCACCATCACCACCACCATCATCACCATCACCACCATAAGCATGGACACGAACATAAGCATGGTCATGAACACAAGCATGGTCATGAACACAAGCATGGGCATGATCACAAACACGAGCATGGACATAAACACGAGCATGGCCACAAACACGAACATGGTCACAAACACGAACATGGTCACAAGCATGCTCACGCTCATAAGCATGGCCACGAACATAAACATGGACATGAACATAAGCACGGACATGAACATAAACATGATCACGCTCATAAACATGGCCATGAACACAAACATGGACATGAACATAAACACGAACATGGACACAAACATGGTCATGCACATAAACATGAACACGGACACAAACATGGTCACCATCATCATCATGGACACAAGCACGAGCACGGTCACAAACACGAACATGGACATAAACATGGTCATGGACACAAACATGAACACGGTCACAAGCACGGTCATGAACACAAGCATGGTCACGAACATAAGCATGGCCACGAACATGGTCACAAACACGGTCATGCCCATAAGCATGGTCATGAGCACGGACATAAACATGGACATGAACACAAACACGGTCACGCTCATAAACACGGTCATGAACACGGTCACAAGCACGGTCACGAGCACAAGCATGGTCATGGACATAAACACGAGCACGGTCACAAACACGGACATGAACACAAGCACGGTCATGAACACAAACACGGTCATGGTCACAAACACGAGCACGGACACAAGCACGGTCATGAACACAAGCACGGACACGGACATAAACACGGTCATCATCATGGTCATCACCATGGACACAAACACCAACACAAATGGCACGGAATCATCCACGGACATGGTCTCGATGCCGGACATGGCCTTAATGTCGAATCTCATGGATTCGAGCAGCCAGAAGCTGAAATTCACCACGGATTGGATATTGAACCTGAAGGCATCCATGCTGAAGGCTTAGATGTTGAAGCTGAACCTGAATCAGTTGAAGCTGAGCCTCATCACCAAGAAGAACCCGAGCATGTTGGTTTCAATATAGAATCATTCGGTCACGATGAACCCATTGTAGGTTTCAATTCAGAAATCAAACACGAGCCTCTTTTTGCTGGTGGACATGGTGTAACTCACGAATACCGACATTTTGGCCATGGAAGTGGACTGACAAACCCTCTGTTTTCAAAATTAGGAGGATTTCATGCCAACTTTCCCGAAATCAAAAGAAAAGACGCCATTGTACAGTAATGTAGTGCCTTGAATTTCTGAAATAACGATTAATTTATGGAACTTTCAAACAAATGAGTGAAAATCTGTTTTTTCACATTCCTATTTATTTATAAAGCCTCGGCCATAACTCATGATTCCCAGTGTGATTGGGAAAATCATTGATCAATAAGTTTCATATTTTTACTGCAAAATATCAAATTTTTGCCCTGGAGTGAATATCACCGGGCATGTGAATTTGAGTTATGTATTATAATGTACAAAAGCAGCATGTACGTATATTTTGCCAAGGCATAAGTGTTGTAAAATAAAGTCATTCATATAAAATGAATAGTATTCTTTTTTATTTCATTCGAAATCACTTTATCGATTAAGGACGGTTGCTTCAATCGAAATTTTTAATGAAAAAATAATAAGTTTCATCGAATAGACTTGAATTTTCTTTGTAATACTAATGGTCTTATCGAAACTTGAATTGTCATTTTAAATAACTGTTTTTTTTCCTTGAAAAGTACGACACAAAAGTTGAGACTGAAGATCACATCTTTGCAATTTTCGGTTCTGCATTACTGCAATTCAATAAAACCTTCATTTATAGTTAACATATATGAAGAATCAACGAAAACTGAACAAGAGTATATTTAAAAGTTCCTAATATTCAATGTTTTTTAAGAAAATCAAAAGCAGTTCTCACTTTATTCTTAAAAGAATGGAAGAAAAAGCACAGTTTTTCACTTTTACATCATAAAAATATTACATAGGTTCTTTAAAGTTCTTACTATATAATGTCTTACCATATGATGACTTACCATATAATTTTGACTCATGGATATAAATTTCCTACGCCATCACTACTTTATTATTTATAACAAGTATTCCTTTAATTATTTTATAACTGAAAAGAAACCATAGGAAATTATAACACACATTAAAAATAAAATTTATGCTTTAATAAATCAGAATATGAATAAATATACTATAATCTAATTAATATTTTAAACAGAAACGTTACACATTTTCTTATACCAGAAGCTTCAAACATTTTTCAGAACATCAGTTCAGTAAGAATAGTGCACATCGTAAAAAATATTCTGTTACTGTTGAAAAAACATTTTGCTATAATTTTAAATTTTATGCATAGTATTTTTTATTTATTAAAACGATTACTAAATAAAATATCCATTCCATATTTCTTTTATTTAATTGTCTTAATTCAAATTAAAATATCTAACTTTGAACGAAAATATATTTATTCCGTTTAATAATTAGATACATCCAATTTGATTTATCAAGCTATGATTCAAATTTAATTGGTTTAACGGAAAAAATATTTAATAATTTAAGATTCTTTCGTTTTTTAACAATAAAAATTTTCTCTCTTTCAATCTTAATTCATATATAATATTAAAAATTATAACTTTCCCTTCGAAAACAGAACTAAATTCAATTTTTAAACATCACCCAAGAAAAAAATATGAAGCGTAAAAGAAATATCAATCATTAAATTCAAACTACAACTAGACACTACACGCAAACAGATGATAGTTATTTGAAGTTAAGGAAAATAAATAACTGCTGGAGCAAATTGCCTCTTAAATACGTCAGAAACTGCTTCGAGGAGTCCAGGTGCTTTGATAAATAGATTGCTCGAAGAGTAGAAACGAAACACCTCAACTTCATCCTTAATCTGGAATAATGATCTACAAAATAAACCTTTTTCTAAGTAAAAACAAAATAGAACAATTCGTTGTCCCAACAGCAGTAGTAAGTTTTGTTCTATCCTTTTAGCAATTTCGTTGTAGATGTGATTGCAGTGACCAAGCTAACTAAATAACATGTTATCAGATTGTACTTCGCTTTATTTATTTTCTTTCTTGTTCTTTTTTCGTTGTACCAGATAGCCCATCACGCTGGACATTCGCATTTTCGTTCCAGAATGGAAATGGAAGGAATTGGGGGATGGATTTATCTGGGATAGGATACAATTTAATTTCCGATGGCGGATAGACAAAAAGAAGTTTTCTTTCCCTTTCTTTCATGATCTGGACGAGTTTTAGATTGCTGTAGTTCGTTTTGAGATAGTTTAAAGAAAATTTAGGTTTTTCTTTTCCTGTTTTTTCTTCCTTTCTGTCCTTTCCTTTTTTTTAAAAAAATAGATTCCGGAGAGACTTACGTTGAAATAAGATGATGGAACTTAAAGTCTAAAACCACATAAAGAATAAAATGTATAGAATGTTCTGACTACCAAATTTGTTGCTATGTTCCGATCTGAATAGAATATTTAACAAAGAAAGGTGAATTTTCTTTTTTGTAGTTTCCGAAAACAAAATCGAATCTTTCTTGTTTATTTTACCTATTTGTTCATGGTTTGTAATTGAAATATTGAAAGAAAAGGAACAGTTTAATATAGAAACTTATTAGATTTTTTAAAATTTTTATTTTACCAACTTTGAATAAAAAGTTGGGCTTGTATAATGGTGTCTGATATTTTGTATTTAATTATTTAAATTAACACATAACAAAATAACAAATATATTACGTTTGAATANATTAACGGTATTTATTTTCGATAAAATTGTAAAACTTAGTAAATGTTATATGGCATTTTAAAAGCATTTATATATATATATATATATATATATATCATAATAAAATTACCAGCCAAATATTACCACATTCACCAAATTTTATCACATATTACAAAACCCTATTTTGTTCGTTCTTTCACCAAAATCTTTACCAAAGCGCTTCGGTAAAAATTGCCAAGTTTTTTGATGCTCCCATAGAGCCATAAACACTGCATATCTTATCATATCTTTCGACTATATTTTGTCTCAATTATAAAATTCTCTTTGAGTAAATGATTCCTGTAATATAAGACATGAGAAACGACATTCTGAATAATTTTCGATTTCAAAGTATGTAAAAATGCTTAAATAATAGTGTTTTTCTGTCACGTATTTGAATAAGGCGTTTTTTTTTAATGAAAGAGCGGTTTTGTAGGCAATTTTGCTGCTTATATACCTCTAAAAGAAGATGTTTCTAAATCCTCTAAAATGGCGCATGGTACTTTTTTCAACAAAGATTTCCAATATTTCTGTTAAATAATTTCTAGATAAGCACAGTTTAGTTTAGAGGTATGATTACATCAAAAAGATTAAAAATGACATTAAACGGTATAAACTACACTATTTTTAATGCCGTAATTTTAAAATTCTGCCATACCTCTTGTAATATGGATCAAAAAATTTAAATTTGTTGGAAAATGTGTGTTTATTACGAGAAAGTAAGCTTTTGTATAAGATTTTGCAGTTTATACAAGCATCTATGCTCGTAAATTTATAAATGAAAATTCAGATCTGTGGAATATTATAATTGTAAATGATACAGGAATCGTAAATTTAAAATTATTTTGTTTCTGATTAACTTTTTATAATGGCAAATGCGATATTTAAGCAGTCCTTTATCAGGTTCAGTACTTTAAAATTTCTGTATTACGCTATGAATTTATTTTGATATGAGACAGGTTTTATGAATTTTTCAAAGCTAAACAAGTGTAAATAAAACCTACAAGCATCAATGTTAAGCAAAAATAAGAACTTTCATAATACTTCAGCAAATGAAAATCACTGAAAAAGGTATTTTTACATTATTTCCATGGAATGCAGTTTTTTTTTTAGAAAAATAATTATAATAAGAAACTAACTCTTATTAAAATAGAATCTAGAATAAAAAATTCATGAAGGGTATTAAGTTTTTATCATGGCAAATGTGATATTTAAACAGTTTTTTTTTTCAGGTTCAATACTTTAAAATTTCGATATTACACTATGAGTTTATTTTGATATGAGGTAGGTTTCATAAATTTTTCAAAGCTAAACAAATGTAAATAAAACTTACAAGTATTAATGTTAAGAAAAGGAGAACTTATATAATACTTTAAAAAATGAAAATCTCTGATAAAAAGGAATTTTTACATCATTTCTGTGGAATTTTTTTTTTTTTTAGAAAAAGAATTATAGTAATAAGAAAATAATTCTAAATTAAAAAGAATCTAGAATAAAAATTTATAAAGGGGATGGTATTTTAATAGGAATGCAGTTCAGGTTCAAAGGAAAAATTTATAAACAGAGTGTAAATAGGAAGTTTAAAAAATGTAACTGTTTTTTATAAACTAATACAATTTGAAAAAGTTCTTATAAGTTTTGTGTAAACTGATAAGACTTGAAACATGGCAATGAGATAAATATAAAGTGAAAAATAATGTTTATTAAATTTATTTCATCTCAGTATACATATTTATTGAAAATTTTTCAGTTTGTTACTTTTGTTAAAGCTTAATATTGAGTAATAAATTCCAAAAAAAAAATGATTTGATCAGTTTTATTGTTTCTTAGCAAGTAAAAATGACAAGCATGTAACAACAGTTTTTTTATAGCATTATTTTCCTGGCAGATTTTAAAAATATTTGTTTGACAGAAATTCAACCGTATTGAAACGTGATATTTTTTCAAATGAAAAGAATGAAACATTCTGGATTTTTAAAAAAGTATTATTGTCAAAGAATTTTTAGAATGGGATAAATGCGTTCTTGTGATAAGAAGTTTATTTTTCTAAAAAAAATAACTCCAATGATTTTGAAACGGAATAGATTTTAAAAGTAGTTGGAGATAGTACTTAAAAAAGACAGTATTTAATAGTGGAAAAAATAGGTTTATGGCTGATTTTTCTAAGCAAGTTTAAAGATTTGAAAAATGTACAGAAATATTTCAATTGTTATTGTGTGAGTTTTGTATTACTTTTATTTGAAGCATTAAATTGTTTACAGAAAACAACTGTAATAAATGCTCTCTTGCAGTTAGTATACGTAAATTTATTTTTTAGAAATAACCGTAAAATATTTTTAAAGTGAATTCTTACAATTATCAATTTAATTTTTATTTTGAAAACATATTTCCATTTGGGAAATAATCTTCTCTTAGCATGACTATGCAAAAAAACGTACATTTCGGTTAATAAAAAAGCAAAGAATTTAAATTTAAATATTGACGACAAGACTTATATATTTGATTAAAAATTAATTAATAAGACAATTCGTAGATTTTCTTACTCTTTATTTAAAATACATTAAGAAGATTAGAGTTCTACTTGGATTGAATTAAAAACTATTAATGTATTTTAAAGTGAATTAGGAATTATAAAGTTAAAAGAAGAAATTATCATTGGTATTTAATCACACTCCCTGCAAACATAAATTTAACAGAAAAAGAAAGGCTGCGTATATGTTTTAAGAAAATCAAACCGTACCGCTAATTCATACCGCTAATTCAA